ACGAAGAGAGAAAACGCTAACCTTGCTCGACACGACTTCTGGCGTGGAGGACAGGAAGGCGGGTGGGGAGGCGGTTATTGCTTGGAGGGAGAGTCCCCCCCCCTACAGGAAACCACGACCAAGGAAAATGGCCACGGATCCTGTTCGTCACCCGATCCGGCATTCGCGAATGGAGGCAAAATTTTGCAAACGGAGCTGTTCGTGACCCGAATTGGTCGTGAACAGAAGCGTTCGTGACCCGAGGTACCACTGTACCAGTGCTTTTATGCTTGCTTCTAATGTCTAGGGTTGGAGATTTGTACCTTCCTGCCATTCTGTAGGGGATATAGATATAGACTAGATGTGATAAAGGGCACTTCTCAAGATTTCCATAGTGTTCATCATAGCATAAACAACGCCTGTTGTTTAGGCTTTGATAAAGTGATTGTCTATATGTGACACAAGTTGTGGCGATAGTGAAAGTTTTTGAAAATGATTTGTCATATTCTTAATGCATAAAATTCGCTAAGAATTTGTCATATTCTCAGTGCATATAACTATAGATTGCAGAATGAAATTTCCTAGAATAGACTCATGTACTTTTACATAAACAACTAAAAAATATCAGGGCATATTGTGTGTGAACTTCCAGGGGTCTTATTATTTAAAAGCCGAATGATGGTTTAGTCCAACCTTCCCTAAATGGGTATCTTCTGGATACTTCAATTCCCAGAATTCTTAGCAATGCTGGCTGGTATTTCTGGAATTTGAAAGCTACATTTCAGAGGGTACCCAGGTTGGGAAAGGCTGGATGGTTGATAGAGAATGGTCTGATCATTAAGGAAGTTCTCACATTTGAGTTAGATCCAGATTTAATCAAACTTGGGAGAACTTTTGTCTTTAAAGGTGGCTTAGAAATATTTGTAAATATAATTTTTTTTCAGTGGATCTATTAAAATAAATTGGGGGTTTTATATTATGAAATATAATCAATTTCAATGCATTTTGTCTAAATGTGACCTAAGGTTCTATCCAACCCAGGTATTTCTTTCAGTGTATATGATTCTTAGTTCTGGTTTTGCCTACTTTTTCAGTATTTGGAGAGAGACTTGCATCTCTTGTGTCTGTGAGCCAAGATAACTCCAGGAATTCACAGAGGTCACTCTAAGGGCCTTTTGTCTGCTGCTGAGCTGGAGTGCTCTCCACCCATACTTGAGTTGGCAGAAAACTATACTGGCATGAAATTGCTGCCCCTACTGCCAGTTCCTATTCTGTCTCTGTTGCCTCTATTTCAAGTCACCACAGTCCCCTGATTTCTCAGCAAAGAAATGGATGACATTGGAATAAGGAGGAAAATACTATTTTAATCTCTTAAGAGCTAAGAACAAATTTTGACTCTCTCATTCATGAATTGAGATGTGATAATGCCATATCCAGAGCCCACAAAAGGGAAAAAATGATGTTGTCATGACATGCTTGTCTGTTGTTAGGTACAAGTGGGAAAAGGCTCAAAGTGAAATAAGTGAGTCCTCCATTGGGTGTTGCAGCAAAGCGAAGGAACAATTCATTCTGTATTTTGTTTGCTTTCGTTTTGCCAAATGTCTGGGCAATACATTCATAAATTTTGCCCAGTGATCATAATCTCCTTGGCTTGTGAGACAAAGAGCAGCATGTTGTTAATGCTTGTGGCATATAATTTGAAGGTATGCTATGTTTGCATCTTCATTTGAGGATGAACTATTTTTATTTTTCAATTTCACTGGCAGGCTACTGTCATGTGGTAATATGCATATCTCCATGTATCAAAGATCATATTTGAATGTAGGAGTTATATTCTTTAAGCAGCTCCAATCCTGATGAAATATTTATTTCTTGCACAACTAGAGTAAAATTATTAGAGGCATTCCTCAATTTGCCAGTAAAATGTTTTGTGTTTTATTTTCATAATTACAGATAATCAAGCTTGAAAAAAATGGGATAGGATACCACTATATTCTTGCAACTTTGGTAAGATGGATCTCACTTACTCTTTACCTGTAATATGTATGTTTTTATCAATGCCTCTTTACTGGTTGTAAAAGATGCCACATACCTGGGGAATGTTTTTCAGCATATTGTGATGACATATGGTGGGATTCTAACAGATTATTCTAAGTAATTGGCTATCTACCATAGACTATCCCAGAATTAATACAGTGAGGAGGAAAGTAACCTGAATTTGTTGGTGAGGATTAAAGCTCTTACTGTACCTATCTCCTGATTCCCATTTTAGGTAGGAGTAATTTTAGCTTACTCCTTAACATCCCTAACAATGAATCTGCATGACATCTTCTTAACTCTGTTCATGTTTTTTGTTAAGCTATTTAGGTAAACTTTTTCTCATGGCGAAGAAAAGTAATTTTAGACTCTGGTTTTATGGAGGACTCCCTTTGAAGAGCAGTAAAATAAAAATATGGGATTAAACATCATCTTTGTGGAAAAAATTATGATGATGATGGTGGTGGTGCTGGTGGTTGGTTGCACAGTCAGCCAGATGTTTAGACTGGATTTGGCATTTTTATCCATCTATCAAG